TTGTAAGTAATGTAGGGTAGAAAAATTAAGTCTGTTTTAAGATACTGTACTTGCATTTGCCTGGAGGAATTTAGGAAAACCATGAAAATAATTGAGAGGTTTAAATAGGTCATAGTGGTGTGGGATGGATTGAGAGGCTGAAGTTGTGTACTTTAGTTAATGTCAGTAACTCAAACTGTACATTGGTGAATGGTTGTCTGATGATAATGAATTGGAAGGGATGTGGAAGGAAGAAGCCTTGGTCCTAATTTGTGGTACTAGCCCAGCATTTGCTGAGAAGGGCTGATGAAAATCACACAACACCTTAGTCAGGATAGTTGTTCTAGCTGAAATTTGAACCAGGTACCTCCTGAATACAAGTCAGAAGTGTTACTGCTTGAGCCAAGTTGTTGGACAGTGAATGATCTGCAGTTAGTTTATGTGGATAGCTACAGTGATTCAAGGATTCACAGTACAAACTCAGCAGTCTTCCAGAAGAGTTATGGTCAAGTTAATTTACTCATCACAGTTCTGTCACTGATAATGTGATAAGAATCAGATAACAGCAGTTCAGAACTTCGGTTCATTAAAACAGAATGGCATTTTTAAACTATTTCTTATCAAACAGACATACTAGTCACAGTCATTAACTTAAAAAATGCTGCTCTCTCCACACTAATGCTTTAAATTTACTCCCATTTCATCACTAATAGAATTGTCAATTCATACAGTTTTTGACTTCAGTTCAGAAACGTTTGATGTTGTCTCAAAACTGAGATACTTGGAAACAGTAACAGTAAATAAGAGTGAAGTTCAGTGTGGAATTTGGAAGAGAACAGAGTAAAGAAAATCTTCTTATTTGATTCAGAGGCTGTATTATCTTTATACTTTCCAAATCACTAAAGATAATGCAGACATGAAACAGTAAATTTTCATATTGTTTTTGTGTGGTATATTGTAAATAAACTAGTAAGTATATTGAAAATAAAATCCAAATAAAATGTTTGGTTCTACAACAGGAAAAACAGTAAGGAAACAGGAAACTGCGTAATAAATATTTCTATCAACATGATCATCAGTGCACTGCTAAGGTGTTGTAATTGAAGATACAGTAGATTCTGGTAGTTTAGATGTGTAGACTGGATGAGGAAAGAAGAAATACATTTAGAATTTTGGTGGGAAAACTTTTACGGCAGCAGGCATACCTTGGGAAGGAAATATTAGAAAAAATTTTAGGAAACTATGTTACAAGAATGTGAAGAGGACCAAAATTTTTTCAGGAGAGGGTTCAAATTGTTTTGGTTACACATTACTAAACTCAAACTCTATTGCTGTGTATGATCACATTGTGGTGACTAAGAAGAGTGCTGTGTTCTGTGATGTAATTTTGTGTAGTTCAGCAGAAGTTCAGTGACATTTAAGAGAAATGTACTGTCCCCATCTTCATAGTCGAAGAATAAGCCAAGTAAGATACTAGCAAGAAGGAGGCAGCAAGCAGAGCTCTGGTTTCTTGCTTGGCTTACCCTTTAACCCTGAAAATGGAGGCAGTACATTCCTCTGAACCCTGGTGGACTTCTACTGAACTACATGACATTGCAGCCCAGAAATCCAATACATTAAATTTTTTATATAATAATAATGTACACATTCATATCAGAATTTCACCACATGCATATATCAGATATTGACATTATTACATAAGAAGAGTGATACAGAAAGCTGGACAGCTTGAGTGAGCTTTCTTGCATTACCTTTGTTGTGTCTTGTTATATGTTACACTGGTCACATACCTTACAGTTCTCTTTAACCCACGTGGAACAGAGTAACTGGTAGTCATCATCATGATCAGAAGAGTCCATCACAGGCCTCTGTCCTGAGCCAGATGATCCAGTCCACAGTCATCTCCCTCTGTCTTTAAGATCCATTTTAATATTATCCTCCCTATGCCTAAATATTCCATGTGGTACTTTCATTCAGGTTTTCTTACCAAAGACTATCAAGATTTTGCTTCTGTGCTGTTTGTGCTACATGCCTGCCCCATTTCATCCTTTATTTGTTCATCATGGTGATATTTGGTGAGGAATATACCTGTAAGTTATTGAACTCTTCATAATTCACTTTTTTCCAGACTCCAGTTACTTCCTACTTGTTGTGTCCAGATCCTCCTCAGTACCCTGTTGTCAGATGCCTTTAATTGATGTTCCCTTAATGTGATTGGCCAAGTTCCATACCAATACCAAACAATAGGCAAATGCTCTTTTGTACATTTTAATCTGTCATTGTTAAGATAGCAAAGGGGAAGACAGGAAATTGGACTGTAGCAAGCATTCCCTGAATTGAATCTGCTCTTCATTTCTTCTTGAATATATTGTTGATTTGTTGGTGTCATTCCCAAATATTTTAACTATGCCACACTTGCAAAGGATCTCTTAGCTGTTTTTTTTTATCTGTTTATCCTGAATTCTGGAAATTAGACATGAACACACATTAAATTTCTCTTCATTCACATCTCCCCTGGATTCCACAAGACAATACTATCTAATTGTGGACTGACACGTTTTAGAGCACCTATGCTGTTACAGCAGTTTTTAACTTTATACTTTGATTCGCTGTTCTCTTAATGAAGTAGGGTGTGAATATGATCTTAATTCATTTGTCTGAGGTTAAGGCTCTTGTCAACATGTTAATAGCTGAAGAAAGCAGTTTTCTGGAATGTGGTGCCATGCAGATATTGTGTTAACCTACGTTTCGGAGGAACGTATCGCCTCCATCTTCAGGGTAAAAGAAAATCCACAAGTGAGGAACCAGCGAGAGCAGATTATAACAGATGGAGGCGATACATTCCTCCGAAATGTCAGTTAACACAATATCTATACGGCTCCACATCCCAGAAGACTGCTTTCTTAATAGTCACCACTGTGAAATCTTACATGTTAACATTTAACGTCCAAAGTGCCCCAATCAGGCCAGTGATGAGTATGGTCATTGTGGCCAAAGTACCCTGATTTGGCCAGTCGGGCATTTAAACTCCACTGCTGGATGCGCGCACACTGCTAAATATTTATTTTTAAATGTAGTAATTACCAGATGGACTTGAGTAAAACCCTAATAGAGGAACTGAAATTATACCTAAGTGAACAGAAACAACAAAAAAGAGTATACGTATGAGTTATAACCAAACTCATCCACAAGCCAGTACTTTTATTGGAGATTCTGCAGATTAATGTGTTAAAAATATATAGTGAAATTTGATGTACATACCTTTTTTGTTGTTACCTGCTTGATGTGTATATAGGCTGAAATTAAACTACAGTATTTGATTTCACTATGAATGCACAGATAACAGATCACACTCTGTATCTCAGCCATGATGCAACTGTCTGTTCATGACCCTAGAAGGGGCAATAATCTCTTGCAGCTGTAACAGAAGGTCTTAACACCGAAGAAGGGACCCCTCTAGCTTTTTCTTGAATAGCCATGCTTTCATTCTTCTGTCCTTCAGTCAAAAGATGTGAAAATTTGAAGAGTGTAACAAAGAATTGAAAATTTCCAGGAGAAGACCAAATGATTTTATTGCTTCCGTGTTATGACACCAGGGACTGCCATAATATGTCAAGTGATACAAGCAGAACTGATTTTATAATGCAGAACAACTCTGTGAAGAAATTGGAAACTATTTTTACAGTACATATCAAAATTAAAAGAAAACAATTGAAAATAGTGTATAACTCTTCGTATAAAAATTTGCAAATCTTATGTTATAATATGCAACACTGTGTTCTTTGCTGATACCAACAAAGTCAATTCCATCCATTTATCAAAAAAATTGTGTTAGATACAGCATCTGACCTTCAAATGGGTCAAATCACACTTGTGTCAGTCTCACCTGGTAAGTTCATATGGTGTTTGTGTTTATTAAATATTGATTATCAGGGAAAGACTGCCTCTGTGGTTCAGTGGTCAAAGTTCCTGGCTACAGATTCAGAGGTTCCAGGTTCGATTCCCGGCCCTATTTGATTTTCTGAGAAATAGTGGATCTGGAACGGGGTCCACTCAGCCTCATGAGGATAATTGAGGAGCTATTTCAAGGATATAGCGGCTCCAGTCTAGAAAACCGAAATTAACGGCTTTGGGGATTCGTTGCGCTGACCACGCGACACCCTCTACCCACTAAAATTGGCACTAACTTCAATAAGTGGCGGTTGCTTGGTCAGTATAGTTCACTTGCAGACTAAAACCGCTGAGTTTTTTTTTTTATTGTAGGGGAAAAATCTGTAAAGTTTGGAGAATATACAGTGTCATAACATTCATATCGAGTGTCATCAGAATCCATCTGTTGCTTAATAATTTGTTAGGGAGAAAAACATACATAATGATATTGTCACATGTTGGGTGTATAACGCGACAAATAACTTCACGCTGTATTGGATATAGGAAATTTTATTTTATACACACTCTTACAATCACACCATTTACAAGCTCAACATTACTGCCATCAGCAGTATCACAAATACTAGACTGCATACTCTTCCCTGGCCCTTCAACTAACTGTTGAATAGTGTTTGCTGCTCCTTATTTATCCCTGTTATGGACAACACAGAAAACAGTTACGTAATAGGCACCACTGTTGCGTAACATCGTGTTTACCGACTGCCTAGGAACAGTCATTGCACAGACTCCCCGTCGTGTTTACAAAGGCGTTGCTGGGCAGTGCTGTCGGGAGTTCTTTACAGCTACGTAGCAACTGCGGCGTCCCGTGTTACATCACCACGGGGAAAGGGGTGTCTACCGAGCGTTGCACACTGATGGACGGAGTGGGGGTATGTGACATCACTCATGAGATCACAGAGTTCACGCGACCCCCACCTCCTGCTACGCCATCCACGTCGCAATATTATTAATTAGAGGATTGATATGTTGATGAGTTTTATATACTCTAGTCACTTCAAGATCAGTCATCTAGTTGAGAGAAGAGACCTCATTAACTGTTGCTAATGGTTGGTTCCTTGTTTGTTTTGCAGCACATCGGTCAGGAAATGTTGGTGTCATTCATGTTATTGACAGTCAGAGAGATCTGGACTGGTTGCTGAATAAAGCTACAGCCGATCCATATATTACTGTAATTCAGCCAGAAATGTTTACAAGGTATATGTCATGACTGATTTTGGGGATTTCACATTGGTTAGCTGTTGATGTTATGTCAGCTCTTGAGTGCTTACACTTGTGTATGTGGGCAGTGTTCTGTGTACACAGGAACTCATCTACACTATACACTTTTACCTTGAGTATGGAGGCACCATGAACCTCCAAAAGTTCAGCACCACTGTTCATATCCATATGATGTAAACACCCAAAAACTGAATTATCATCGGTAGGTACGTCATAATTTGATACAGTGTTATCCCTTCCATCTCTTTACCTTGTTTTCACAACAAAACAGTTGTTTTTGACAGATTTCTTACAATTGACCCCACTATCATGATAAGATATACCAGGAGGTGGGATATGATTGACATTGCTCTCAAACTATTGGTGCTATCAAACCTTTCTTCTGTAAAGTGAAAGCACTATCAGAGACTTAACCTAATGACCTTGTTTCTGTTGCAGGGATGTGTTGTTAGCATTGAAAGTATCAGATAAAGTGAATGGTGTGGTGCTGATTAATAATCGTTCAGCAGAACGTCCAGAGTACTTCTCCCATGATGATAAGTGCCCAAACCGCTACTCAGGTCTGGCACGTATTGAACAGACCTGCAACAATTCACAACCCTGGAATCCACATGGTACTGGTCTCATGTTCATAGATTGGGGTTTCCCAATATTTCACATTGAAGATGGAGACAGTATTTCAAAGTTGTATCAGGTATGCTGAAGGTGCAAAAGAAATTACACTAAATTCAGGGTTTTTAATTGAAATGGCATTTTTTCAACAGTATGTAATGTATATATAATTTTTTACGTTAATAGTGGTTGGGGGGGGTGGACATATGGGTGGATTTTGTATGTGTCAGTGTAAAATTGTGTCATCTAGACAGGGTTCTCATGGTAGGCACCTGGTATGAGAAATTTTGCCTTTTCACTAGGTAATGCCCCCTGAAAAAAAATGGTTTGCCAGTAAATAGAACACCGGAATCTCATTCCTGCCTGAGATAAAAATATTGTCACTCATAGCAAGCAAGCACTATATTGCCAGTGATTGATTCTGTAATAAGTTACAAGTAGTAATAAGTGTTTCTCTCTTTTATGGAACAGTGCTACCAGAAGCACAATGCCTATCACAGGGATGAACAAAGGGACCAATCACTTTGTGCATTAGAGATGAATTCATTTATGATTGCTGCTGTGGATTCAAAAACATGCATGCGACGTAGTGCAGCAACAACAATACTCAACTATGGTGAGTCAGTTGGTATTGTTACATGGTATTCCACTTGAACTATTTGTTCCTAAACTATATCAGCATTAAACCTACGATTGTCAATATTAATTCCTTTAATGGAAAGTCAAAACATTGCAGAATTCTGGTCCAGCAAAAGTGTAGATTGTGGTTATAATTTTCAACTTTCATAGGCATATCACACACAGTTTTGAAAAGAATGAATAATGACTGAAAATTTTATGAGTGACATAAACTATACACCATACAAAAATTATGTTTTATATTTATTGATAATATTGTCACATGGGAAGCTGCGAATATATTGAATAAACAGTCGTGGACAGCCAACAAGAGGTGGTCCTCCAGCTTGGGGGTTGGGTGTGGGGCTGACAACTCATCACCGCAAAAAGTAATCATGTTGCAAAAATGAACACAAAGCCTCGGACCGGGACGGATCCTCTGGATAAACGATCTAGGCTAAAGAAAATGGACATGAGGTTCGGTACGTGGAATGTCAGAAATATGTATAGGGTAGGTTCACTCAAGGCAGTGTCAGGAGAAATCTTAAAATCTAAGTTAGATGTAATGGGAGTACAGGAGGTGGCATCAAACCAGCAGGCGAATATACATTTTTCTCTAGAAAGGGGAATGAAAATCATGAATTAGGTACAGGTTTTTTCGTATGTAAGAGAATTGTATCAGCAGTAAAGAGGGTAGAGTTCATTAGTGATAGGATATCATATAATACTAAAAGGTCGATGGTGTGATATCATCATTATTAATGTTCATGCCCCAACAGAAGATAAAATTGATGACATAAAGGACAGGTTCTATGAAGAACTAGAACATGTATTTGATGAATTTCTCAAAGTACCCTATGAAAATTTTGTTAGGAGATTTCAATGCCAAAGTAGGGAGGGAAGACATTTTCAAACCAACAATTGGGAATGAGAGCTTGCATGAAATTAGTAATGATAATGGAGTTAGAGTAGTAAACTTTGCCACATCAAAAAATCTTCCTGCCAAAAGTACAATGTTCCCACATCATAAGTAACATCCATAAATTTACGTGGACATCTCCTGATGGGAAGATATACTATCAAATTGACCATATTTTGATAGATAGGAGACAGCATTCAAGTATACTTGATGTCCAATCATTCAGGACAACAAATTGTGATACTGACCACTACCTGGTGGTGGCAAAGGTTAGAGAAATACTGGCAGTGAGCAAACAAACAATACACAGAGTTCATATGAAGAGGTTCAATCTCAAGAAATAAAATGAGGTAGAGGGTAAAGAGGCCAGTCATGGTAGCCGAGTGGTCTAAGGCATGCAGTGTCTTCACTCGCTCGGAAGCCAGGATTGTGGGTTCAAATCCCACTCNTGTGGGTTCAAAGATGTTTGTGTGCGTTTTTCTGTGTTTGTGTACAGGTAGAGGCCTTGCTATGAGCTGATCACCTGCCCAAGGAGTCCTACCATATGTGTAAGATCTAGAAAAACCGAAGTGAACGGAGAAGTTCATGGAGGTAGGCCTAGGCCCACTGGGGCTGTAGTGCCAAGGAAAAAAGAAAAAAAAAAACGAGGGTAAAGAGAAGTATCATGTTGAAATCTGAAATAGGTTCGTGGCTTTGGAAAACTTGGACACTGAGGTGGAGGTTAATAAAGCTTGGGAAACTATTAGAGAAAATATCAAAATTTCCACCAAGGAGAGTCTAGGTTATCGTGAACTGAAGAAACATAAGCTATGTTTCGATGAAAGATGCTCAGAATTATTAGACCAAAGAAAACAAGCCAAATTGCAATGGTTAAAGGATCCAAGTGAAATAAATAGGGGTAATCTGAACAATATAAGACGTGAAACCAGCAGGCATTTCGGGAATAAAAAGAGGGAATATCTGAAAGACAAAATTGTTGAGCTTGCAATGAACAGTAACAACAAGAACATTGGAGACCAGTATAGAGGAATAAATGACTTTAAGAGGGGGCTACCACCATAGAAGTAACTTAGTGAAGGATGAGAATGGTGATCTGCTTGCAGATTCCCACATTTTGAATAGCTGGAAGAACTACTTCTCTCAGTTATTGAATGGACATAAGGTCAGTGATGTTAGGCAGATAGAAATGCACAGGAGCTGAGCCGTTAATACCTGATCTCAGCCCTTTTATGGCTGAAATTGTTATTGCAAAATTGGAACGGTATAAATCGCCAGGTAGTGGTCAAATTCTGGCAGAAATTATTCAACCAGGAAGCGAAATATTATGTTCTAAGATCCATAATCTAATTACTTCTGTTTGGCATAAGGAAAAATTGTGTGGTCAGTGGAAGGAGTCTATTATTGTACCAGTACACAAGAAGGGTGATAAAACAGACTGTAGTAATTATAGGGGGATATCACTGCTATCAACATCATACAAAATTTTATCCAATATTCTTCTCTCAAGGTTAAGTCCATGTATAGATGAAATTATTGGGGATCATCAGTATGGGTTTCGACGTAACAGATCAACTACAGATCAGATCATTTGTATTCGACAGATATTGGAGAAAAATTGGAGTACAATGAGACAGTACAAGAGCTATTTGTAGACTTCAGGAATGCCTATGATTCAGTTAAGAGGGAAGTATTGTACAATATTCTGGTAGAGTTTGGGATACCCACGAAACTAGTTAGGCTAATTAAAATGTGTTTAAACGAAACGTATAGTGAAGTCCATATAGGTAAACATTTGTCTGATAAATTTCGTATCCAGAATGGTCTAAAACAAGGAGATGCTTTATCGCCACCCCTTTTCAACTTTGCTTTAGAATATGCCATTTGGCAGGTCCAGGAAAACCAGGTGGGACTGAAATTAAATGGGACACATCAGCTGTTGTTCTCTGCTGATGATGTGAATCTACTGGGTGATAATATAATGAATGAATGAATGAATGTATAAGGGGTGGGCCTTCTTGGCCCTTGCACTGCAACCTACAGTGATCTGTTGTGCTTCCCCTTTTGATTATCCCTTCAGGAACCCCGCACTTCGGATGAAGCATAGAATTTTAAGTGTGGGGACGTCAAAATAGTCACTTGGTTCCATATAGTATTGACCTAAGTGACGTAGTCTTAAATAAGCTAATGCCTCACATTCACACAGGATATGTGTCGCTGTTTTGTTTTCTTCCTGACACCTTTCACAAGTGGGACTATCTCTTAGTCCCAGTTTGAATAGGTGTCCTTTGAGGTGGCAGTATCCTGTAAGTAGTCCTACCACCCATCGTAGCTGGTTCCTGTTTAATTTCAACAGTTCCTTTGCTCTTTTAATAGAAGGTCCTCATATGAGTCCCTTCGCTTGCCCTAGTCCAATTAAGGATCCCCAATATTTCTTGTGTTTCATGTTAGTCCAGTCTCTGATTGCCTGTGACAACTCCTATAGAGATGCCACAGGCTGGGTGATAATATAGATATCATAAAGAGAAATACACAAACTTTAATCGATGCAAGTAAGAAGGTTGGTCTAGGAGTAAACACAGAGAAAACTAAGTATATGTTGCTGTCCCATCACCAAAATGCAAGGCAGAATCATGACATAAAGATAGGAAACAAATTTTTTGAAAATGTGGCACAGTTCATATATTTGGGGGCAACGATAACAGATCGAAACCTGATTCAGGAGGAAATTAAGAGGAGATTGAATTTGGGTAATGCTTGCTATCATTCAGTCCAGAACCATTTGTCTTCTTGTCTGCTGTCCAAAAACATAGAAATTAGAACATACAAAACTATAATTTTGCCTGTGGTTCATGAAACTTGGTCTCTGACATTAAGGGAGGAACATAGATTGAAGGTGTTTGAGAACAGGATGTTGAGAATATTTGGACCGAAGAGGGATGAAGTGACAGGAGGTTGGAGAAAACTGCATAATGAAGAGCTTCATAACTTGTATGCCTCTCCAGGTATGATTAGAATGATCAAGTCAAGGAGGATGAGGTGGGCATGGCATGTAGCACGAATGAGGGAGACGAAGAATGCATATAGGATATTGGTGGGAAAGCCAGAAGGAAAGAGACCACCGGGAAGACCCAGGGCATAAGTGGGTGGACAATATTAAAATTGATCTTAGAGAGATAGGATGGGATGGTATGGATTGGATTGTTCTGGCTCAGGATAGGGACCAGTGGAGGGCTCTTGTGAACATGGTAATGAACCTTCAGGTTCCATAAAATCCTAAGAAATTCTTGAGGAGCTGCAGAATTGGTGGCTCCTCAAGAAGGGCTCAGCTCCATAAGTAAGTAAGTAAGTAAGTATTGTCACGTTTTTATGGAGTTTGACTACAGATGGGTTTTGGAATGCTGATCAGATTTATTGGAGTTACTGGTACAGCGCGTGACTACACTTTACACTCCACTGTTACATGCACACATACACACACACTAGTGTGCACAGTCATGTCTTCACTACTAGCTGTTATTTGGTAGCAGCTTCAACAGAAGACATTCCCCTTCCTCTGGGTTCCCAAACTGTCCCCAGCCGTGGCCGGGTTCGATCCTGGGTCTGGTCAAGTGGGATTTGTGGTGGACAAAGTGGCGGTGGGGCAGGTTTTCTCCGAGTACTTCGGTTTCCCCTACCAATCTTCATTCCACCAATTGCTCCACAATCACCCTCACCTAACATCTGGGACTGGTACAATAGGCCAGAAGTGGCCACAGTACGAGGGACTTAGTCCCACCCCACTAGCAATAAAAAAATACTGTCCCCAGCCTCAGCTACCAGCTTCTAACAGCAACAGCTCCCAACAACTGCCCCCAAGTGTTTCACTCACTGACTGACACTCACCAACCAACCAACCAACCAACTCCATGATTGCAAAATATTAATAAGTAGTGTTGTTACATGTGTGTATTAATTCTAACTTGCAGTTTGTATCATTTTCTGAATCATCACTGCTCTGGTATTTATATTCATACACTAAATCAGTGCCCCCTTCATCAGAAAGGAAGTTATTTTTAATATCACTAATGTTATATTCAACTTCACCATGTTCAGTATCATTAAAATAACTTCTTATTCAATGGTATTCACAATTTTATCACAGGCTTTTAGTGTGGTTTCATTCTTAGCTGCCATTTTAGGTACCTTTATTTCACACATGTATAATGTATGTAATGACTCCCAGAGATAATCAGTTACATTCAAATACCACTATAGTATGTACATTGAATAAAATACCAACAAATGGCACATGCGGTCACATATAGCATTTGTTGTAAAGGCTAGATTTTTTCACTTTTCACTGTAGGAGCACACATAAGGTTGTTTCCCTCCCTCACTAAGCACATAAGATTTTAAACAGCTATATAATTCATTTCACATTTTGGGAGGCTAAATGTTTAAACCAGCATGTTAACCTTACTCTCAGTCCCACAATGTCTGATAATTTGAGTAAATGATCACCTCTATGTCAAGGTGTTCTGTTCAGCATACCCTGTTACCTGGAGTCATATGCTGGAAAAACTAATAGTGGCACCATTATTCAGTGAAGGCAGCATGGGCTGTAGTAACAAGGAGTGTGTTTCCACATGTTGGGTTAACAAACCATCCCTTCCCAAGCTGTGTACTTCATCTGTCAAACATCAGGGACAGAGTGTAGGGACAGAAACAACAGCTGTACAAGAAAATAGTTGCAGGACCTGCAACTACACCAAAATTGTTGAAAAATAAATACATGCAATTTGAGGTTCTCACAGCAGTGACTGCAGAATAAATACCGTCTTCTGGGATGTGCTGCTGTATAGTCTGATCAACATTTACTGACACTTTAGAGGGTCCTAATCTTCACGTTCAAAGAGTCTTCAGCCCAGAAAATGTACAGTACATTTATCCAAGAATCATTAAGCTTATGCCAGACTACATGGTCTCACATTCCCAAAGGTAGTGCTCTTCAAAAAATAATTTCCTCTCACACCAGTCAAAGATACACAGATACATGGAAAACACAGTACAATGGTGAAAACTGAAAAAGGGTGTCATTAAAACCTTTGTTTTGAACAATAGTAGCATAATTATAGAGGGGATCTGGAAAATCTGCTACATTCTTGGAGTATTGTATTTTCTTAAAATAGATAAAGTACTGGAGTTTTTTTTTTAATTTAGATGCCTTGTATATTTTTTGTCAGTGACCCTAGCATATAAAACATTTTATAATTCATTCATTCATCAGTAATATGTCAAGACGACAGGTCCACAGTCTCTTCCAAAACAGTTCCTCCACTTGATGCGATCTAGAGCTTTCTCCTTCAAATGAAAATATCCTCTTCTGTCCCCAAGGTCATCCAACATCTTCTTATGTCTTCTTCCTCGTCTTCTGGTCACTTCTATCTGCCCCTCTATCTTTCCTTCAATAACTTCTTTTAGAAGGCAGTTACCACGTAAGATATGACCAATCCAATTTGCCTTCCGTTTTCTTATTTCATGTAAGATATTCCTCTGCTCACTGACTCTAAATAACACTTCTTCATTTCTCACATAATCGGTCCAACTGATCTTCTCCAACCTTCTCCAACACCACATTTCAAAGCTTTTCAGGTGTTTCTGATCTACTGCCCTAAGTGTCCAAGTTTCAGCCCCATACAAAGCAATGCTCCAAATGTAGCATTTCACTAGAGTCTTTCTCAAATTGAAGTCCAATTTGCTGGTAAAAAAGATTCTTCTTCTTGCTAAATGCAGCTTTTGCCATGGCAATCCTAGACTTAATTTCACACGTACACCTTCCATCATCTGTTAACAAGCTACCCAAATATTTAAAACATTATTTTATAATGAAGTTACATAAAAGCAGCAATGTGCAATCTCTCGAAAGAGTAAAGTCATAATGATACACAATGTATAAGTTAGAATATAGAACAGCCCTTGCCCATTTTGTTGAGTGTGACCATGAAATTGTGCTTTTGATCTCTGTTTGCTGTTCATGAATTGAATCCTGTGTGGAACATGGATATGTGTTTCATTATGAGCTAACGTAATGATTGTCATTCCTATCACTGGATCATCTGCCATGATTGGACTCTGTGTACAGTAGAAAATTTCGTTTAGCAAGACTGGTATGTTCCATTAAGGCTGCACTTGAAGCAGATGTTCATGAGAATACAGTTCTTCTTTCAATTTCCCAGGACTATCTTTTGTTTGAGTGAAGCCTCCAGGCACATGAGTGTTTTGCTACGTGAGATATGTTCACTCTGCATGAAATTTGGTAATGCAAACTAGTGTTTCTTAGCTGGTGGTTATGGTCTGCTTAATTTATTTCAGTGTGCTGTTACTAGTTAGTGTTATTTATATCTTGTCATGTTTTAGTGTCTAGACATGGGGGTTTGAGTTGATAATTGGATGTTGATAACTCATAACTACAAGTAACAGTAATGGTCTCACGTAGTTACAAACTCTAGAGATCACTTGACTACGGCACACATGAAGTTTTCTGGTTGTTCAGTAATTGTTGCTGGGTAGTGACTGCAAACAGTGCAGCTCAAGACTCCTAAACACCGACTCCGACCTCCAACTGGCTGGCTTGACCAGTTGGTCCTCATTATATAACATTGGCACAGGCCATATAGAAAACACCATGTCCTCTACAGTTGTATCAATATCTGTTGCCACAGGAACGTGTTTACCATTCCTTTGGCTAGCAATGGCCCCCTCTTCTTTTTCCACCCTTCCAGCTTTCAGCCATCACGTCACAGTATTTTACACTACAAGAAATTTCTCTCAATTAACTATTGACACTTTTATTTCTCTTTAAGAACTAAATAATTTACTATGAACAGTGTTAACGTTTTTTATTGACACAGTCTTTCTAGGTAAGTCAGTTGCAGATACTGTTCTTTCATTATATACTGATAGAAAATTTGTGGCAGCTTACATTCTACCACATACTCAAATATTTTGTTAGGGAATGAAACATCTTCTAGTGAAATAATAAAATAAGGCATTCAGTTTACATTGTAAATGAACATGTCTTTCTCATATGCTAGCAATAATTAGATTTATAAGCTATTATTTGTGAGCCAGTGACAGTCGTGCTCCTCTGAAAATTCACTGCTCTTTTGCAGCCTCATAAATCAGAAAAGATTGAAAGTAGCTGGTGAACACCTTTCATGTTTGATCACAGTTGTAGAGGCTTTTGTACCTTATGATCATTTTTATGTTCTTTTTTATTCCCAGTACACTACTGTGATCCTCTAGGAGGCGACAATATTTGGTCTACATTATATCCTCGGTTAAAAGCAGAAAAGATGAATCGTACAGTGGTAGTTGTTGCTGCACGTTTGGATGGAACGTCCATGTTTGATGGACTGGTTCCTGGAGCCATGAGTCCTGTTTCGGGAATTGTGACCCTCCTTATGACAGCAAAAATTTTAGCTTCTATTGCACAGAATTTGTCAGATATAGACGGTCACCAAGGTGAGTAATGGAAGTGCACACAGCCTTGAAGGCAGTTTCTGTCATTTGAAAAAAACATCCTGTTTGTTGTCAGTGAGAATGTGATAAGTGTACAGAATGCTGTTATGCTGACCATTTTGCTTCTAGGAATTCTTGCCTAGAAATACATTTAAAGACTGCAAATTGATACCAGCATAAATGTTTCTTAAATAATGAAATGGTATTTTTAGATTCGTACTTATTTTTATGGTTTCATTCATTTACATTCCATGGATCCTTACATGGCTGGAAGACCAGTGGATACAGAAATAGTCAAAGACAACAAGACAAGTCCCATCAATTATATAAATAAAAATTAATTATATTTAATCGATAACAATTACACATATTATCCAAGACAAATCACAATGAGTAAATCATTAAACAGTTATATATGTAAAAGCATGCAACATTTTATATGAAACAAGACTACAGTAATCAGGCATCCAGCTTATAACAGACCAAGATCATTAATTAATATTGAAGTTAAAATATTCTTCGAATGAGTAAAATGAATTTAAAATTAGAAACCTTTTTGAAGCAAATCTAAATTGTTTTGTAGTAGTAGTAGTAGTCTTTATTTCCATAAATCCAATACTAGAAATACATTCAGAGGATGTGGAAAAGTCAAACAAAACACATAAATAAAAACAGTACAAGGTACCAAGTCAATATACAGATATGTTAAATAATGAGCTAAGTTCCTTATGCTAGAAGGTAGATTATTAAAAACCTTGATTCCAAAATAGATAAGATAGAATCAGGTATGAAATTTTGAGAGCTGGAGGAAGCCAAAATTTATAAATAGAATTAAAAGAGGAATGATTACAATGATTTGTCCATATAAAAAGTATGCAGTGAACAAAGATACTAAGGAGGGCATTAGTATTAAATGCTATAGGAAAGAGACTGATGGGACAACCAAGAAGAAGATGGTTGAGCTAGGCACTTGGCATCAAGAAGAGAGGAAAGAGCTGGCAAGGAATTGAAAGAAAAGAATTATGAGAAGAGATTAAAGACTTTTCATCCATCAACCCATATAAAACAGAAATGGCTACAAGAAGAAGATATTTAAAAGGACACATTTTAATGTTACAGCATTGAACTGTTATTTGTGACAGTAGGTTAAAGGTAAAAGAAGTAACTGATATGTATAGTGATAGATGTTGAAATTCTAGTAGTGAGGTAAATACTGCCTATTGTGTGCTGTCTGCCATATATTATTTCACTCATATTGGAATGGTTAATGAGGATCAGACTTATTTTTATAAACTGCACCAGGCATAAGTAAATTACATACGTATGATCATTTCCATTCACGTCTGACACATTTTGAATAAGTGAAGTCCTCACAATATATAATTAAATCTTATATTAAAATTTATTTTTGCTTTAACATTTATATACCAGTCGTAGGTAGTTTCAATATAGAGAATACCTTTCATGCAATTTTTACACCTGTCTCTTTTGTGATATGCTCTTTAAGTTGTCTTTAATACCAAAGGACTATTTATGTCTTCATGTAGTAGTACAGTAATATGTACCATTTTACAGACAATAATGTGCTCTTCCTGCTCTTAAACGGAGAATCATATGATTACATTGGTTCAAGTCGGGTTGTATGGGACATGGAGCATGGGGTGTTCCCCATGAAACCGAGCTCTTCTGAAGTGCAAGAGCCTCCACCACTGTTTCTTCAAAACATCGCCATGTTCATTGAACTTGGACAAATTTCTGCTCTCGGAAACATGTCAGGCAGCAATACAACCACGTTATACTTTCATCAACATTTTCCCACATCCAACAATGTACTTAATCGGTATCAGGTGAGTTGATTGACATGTTATTTACTTAATCTTTTAAAGACAAGCGTTTACTGTTCTGTGTTTATGTAAAAGATTTCTTTCAAGAATCCTTGCAGATTACATATATGACAGCACCATATTAGATGTCAGTTTTTATTACAGCCATAATCACCTCTTCATAAGGCAAAAGGAAGTTTTGCATCATAAACAAGCCTTTCCATATGGGCATATGCAAACACTTACATATATATTGTCACGTTTTGCCTATGTAACGCGACAAATAAATTCACACAGGTCTCGGATTTAGCGAATATGTTTATTGGCCAGTCTCCTCTACACTTACAGGTACAATTATTCACAATCACAATTACCTCCTCAAAGCCAACTGAAGACTGACTACTCTTCTAAGGTCAGTTACAGACTGAAACTCGTGTCTTGTCGCAGTTGGACTCTTCTAACTTCCATGAGGACTCAATAGGGAATACCATATTGAAGGGTTCATTCCGCTCACTGCTATTGAAACGTTGCTTCAACAATTTGTGTGTAACGGTGGAAACTCCACTGTTAGGTTGTTAGCCACTGTATAAGCAATGGATGCCTTCCAATTGTAGTGTCGTAGTGAGAACATTGATCATTCATATGAAATCAACTCTGTTCTTCTCAACCATTTTGGCTTTCTGGCACACCACAATATAAACATTAAATTATTTCGTGGAGATTGTTGAAGATAGACACAAGGGAACTAAGCAGGAGGTCAGTCCCATTGAAGACACCAGACTTTTCTTCTCTTCTTAAGGTGTGACATACCTTCCAAGGAGATGGAGAAGGAGATAATCTATTGAAATTTTATTGCAGATCTATAAATAGTGTAACGTGTTTCGTTACTGAATAGGCCGTAGAGATGGTTAGTTGGTTTATTCGACAATCTCTAAATAACGGCTACAATTAATTATCACAATATTACGGGTTTCCACACTTTACAAACTCTAGAACAAAATCTCTTAACACTCTCTTCGAGAGTCTTCACGTACTAATAATGCGGGAGCTATACAAGTCTCCCTGAATTACACACTCCAGATATGACTGGTTATCACTGGTTATCNGGGGGGGAGGGGCGTCATTCAGAGCTCAACATGTCACAATAGCATGGGCTGAGAGTATTGCACTCAGTTGCATCACGAACTGAATAGATTTTGGAACTTGAACTTTGTTTATATTCTTGCATGAACTGTCATAGGTCCATGCTGGTGTTAAATGTCTTGAATTATCAGGCTATTTTTAAACGTTTAGTAGCAGGAAAAACCATTGTATTAAAGGTAAACAATGCAGAGTGTTGAAATTAAAATGTTCTTCCAAGTTACAAATTGGCAGAACTGCACCATTCTTACAAATGTGATAAGAGAATCCAAAGTAAATCTATGTTGGAATGTAAGTAAAGTTATAAAAATGAAAATCTATGGCAAAACAGTGCTACATATGTGATTTATTCTCATAGACAGATGTATACCTTTTTCTGATGGGGCTTACCCTGATGAAAATGACAAGTTGCACCCGTGGGTCGGTCAGTTAAATTGCTGCTGGCCTTTGCCAGCACAGTGATTCTTGGCTTCGATCTCCTCAGGGTCCATGACCAAGATTTTTGTTCTCTCTTAGACATGTTGTAATCGATCTGCCAACGAGCTAATTTAATTTAGTAGCATGTTTTGATCCAGGTAAATTAACATGTTCCTAGGTTTACTTGTAACCTACAGCAAATGGACGAGAGGTACATAGGCTATTTCTTCACCTTCAAGAAGGAGTTTTAGCCCAAACTCTCAAGTGCAAAAGACAAAAGAAAAACGACTGGTCAACGCAGATCCGACAGATTGGGTTTTCCCTTCATTTCCAAAGTCAGAAGTCAACGTTACTTTATGACCAACAGTTGGTCAGCCAGTCTCTCCTGGTGTCAAGCACCCATGTGGGGCCCAAGACCAGATTTTTATCACCGTCATTCAGTCATGGGTTTGTTGATGTGGAGTGCTCTCTCTGACTAAGAACAGGTCTGTCGTGTACCGTTGCTACTTGTCCTCACCAATGTAGTTATTCTTTGGTCATTGTCTCGCAGGACTCATGACCGTGTTTTACTGTTTCAGATTCGAGACTCCCCCAACCTGGAGAACCAGGTCCCCATATTTATATCCCCAAGGAACAAGGTGGCCCAGTTATACCCCCAGGCACTGGTTTCCCTTTTCATTGCCTCCTACGATGGGAGGTATTTGAACCTGCCTCCACACGGAGGTCTGTGCTGCTGGTCCTCACTGTATAGCCTTGGCATGGACCACATAGAAAACACTGCAGTCTCTGTTGTAACATCACTGTCTGCTGGTGCAGAAATGTGTGTACTGTGCAGCTGCCTAGCAGTGACCCACTGTGCAAGTTCTATTTTCCCATCTTTCAACAGTTTGTGGCACGTATTTATTCATTGATACAGAAATGTGTTTATCACATTGTTGCCTAGCAACTGCTATCTCTACTCATTCCATTATTCTTGCTTTCAGTTATCATGTCAGTATGCTGTGATATTACTGTTGATCAGCGTAATAAAATTATGCAGTTGTGAGGCTGGCACAGAATATTGCTTCTCATTTAGGTTGTGTACAGAGCTGTGTTGTAGTGTAACGTGCATGTGCTGAGATATATACCTGAGCATAGTTCTGATTGTACTCTTTTACAGCTGACGTATGTGTCTCCTCCTGGTTGTTTAATCACTTGTGTTCTCAAATTGTCCAGCTGTGAAACATTAGAACCCAGTGCTATATAAGCAAGGAATAGAACAGCTATGGCCTACAGTATGAGGATTACCAACTTACAAATGTATCAACTTATGAATATGTAATAGGCAAAACAGTGTCCTCAACCTATCTTCCAAATTTTGAAGCTGTTATTCTGGTTACTGAATGGCCTATTTTGAACCAGGGTAATCTCAGAAGAACAAGTAATATGTTGTGGCTTGAAATGTATTTATGTTTTTCATTCCAGATGGAGACTTTTATATCACATATGAAGAAGTATGGTTCTGAAGTGGGACTTGAGTTCAATCTAATCAATGAGAAGAGGTTTCCACCAGCATCACTGCAGAACTTCTTGGCTGCCAGCAGTGATATCCCAGGTGTATTACTAGCTGATCATGGATCTCAGTATGTAAATAGGTGAGTGTAACGTATAAAATTTATAAGTTCCCCTCATGTTTGTGTGCAGAGCACTCTCCTATTTTGGAATGAAAATGTGCTGAGAAGATCATTTGGAACTAAAGAAAAGTATGTAATATTAAGTAAGATTTGAGGCTTTCACGGCGGTGACTATGAAGAAAGCAGTCTTCTGGGCTTTGGCCAGTTTGTTGCCTTAGTTTGTAATGTTTCACATTTTGTGAAATATAGGAAACAAGGTTTACTTTTTTAATCATGAATAGTTCGGCATAGAAGGGATTTTATTTTTCTAATTTCTATACCTCTTTTACTCAGTTTAATTATATAGATATATAGCTACTATGCCCTAAGTATCTAAATGCATTTATGACCTAAAAACAATGCAAATTGATGATAGAACCATTAAGAACTGCAACAACAGAAGCAATCAAATTCTATTGACATGTATGACTATTTTATAACTAACTCTGCCCCCCAAGATGTGTAAATAATACAAGTATGTTTCAGATATTATCACAGCATAATGGATGATGGCCAGGAGCTGAACTACAAATACCAGAACGGCAGTGAACTGAGTACGAATTCTGTTCAAAAACTGATAGCCAACTTGTCATATACTCTGGCACAAACAATATATTGCCTCATCAATAGTACTGGCCGATGTGACGAGCCAAAAGTGCCGGAACCAGATGCAGATGCACAACTGGTAGGGTTTGCAATCACACAGTCTAGTACTCTGTTGTTCTGACCATAGGTTGAAAACATTTTGAAAAAATGGTAGCCAGACAAATATTTTGGTTACCAGAGTAAAGTGGATCAGTATGTATTTTCTGTTGCCATTCTGTAGCACTCAACGAACAAGATTAATTTCTTCCTGTTGTGATGTTTGCCCCAAACATCTACAGAGGTCAGGTATAAGATAGTGGGGGTTAAAAGGAAGGTAAAGCTATCGCTCTAACGGGCTGTGGAGGCCCATAAGGTTGTGAGACATTGAGGCTCCTACATTTTCTAGACAGTCGGCTCACAGATGGTGGTGAGGTTGTCAGCCATACACGCCAGCTGCCCTTTACCCCAGGAAGATTCCTGGTACTCACTTCTGTTAGAGGCTGAGTTGACCCCAGGGCCATATTGCAGCTGGAAGAATTAGGTCAATTGAAAAATCCAATGACCTCCTCAGGAATCTAACCCCTACTTTCCAGCTTTTAGCATGGTGCCTCAACCAACTATACTACTGTGTGCCCGAGGTAGTGGGGAGGAATCATATTCAAAACACAGATCAGTTGTTGTGACTTATTAGTGATGTTCTGAGGTTCTTCTGCCAGTTCCTCTTTGCCATATGTGGCCACATGAGATTGCCAGAATGAAGTTAGTTACTAGACAAAATTGTTCAGGCCGCTGGTGACCAGGTGATCATATATTCCTACATATAGTGTTACTTATGCCTTTTTGTGAAGACCAAGTATGAGCTAAAAGTTTACATCCTTATCTGTTCTCCCATGCCCTTCCTCACTTAGCCTATCCATCACACTCTTGGTGTACCCAAAGTTCTCTTTCCTTCTGGTGTGGATTCTGTTGTCATCCTGTGTTCATTCAGTTCATATGGCTGAACCACAAAAATTTATTTATTGCTAAATAGACTGGCTCTGAACATTTTTGTGTTTGATACAAATTTCACTTAACACAGCTATTGCCGTACAGATACAAATATTTCACAGTACCTATACAATGTTCTTATGATCCCAGTGCAAGTTCCATATTCTGAAAGAAATTTGTATAGTTACATGATTTTTAAACTGTCATTCTGTTATATTTTATCTCTGTATATTTTCTTCATATAGTGTATTATATTTTAGTTCAGCATTTGGCTATTTGAAAATATGGTAAGCACCCAAATTTCACACCACGCCACTCCTTCATCTTTGAGGTAGGGGTACAGATAGAAAGAATAAAGCTTGGTTCTGTATTTAAGCACCTGTTTGAAGGATGAATTTCAAAGATGAATAAAGGCAAGGTAAAATTATCTTTTTAACCAATTAAATTAATCACTACACCATGAAAACTGTTCTACAGTACTCTGTGGAGGTGAGTGGTCACCTGCATGTCCTGTCTGCTTGGCCACCCTTGGGAAACACCCCAGGTACCCATTGTATATGAGACTGGGTAGATCCCAGAGCCAGTCTAGAAGCCATGGATGAGAGAGAAATTTCTTGTCCCAGCCAGGAATCAAATTCTGATCTCCTGGTCATCCAGTCCATAGGCTAGTCATTTTACTGACTGGACTATCCTGGCTTAGTTCAGAGATGGGTGCCTGTTCTTTTTTTTTTAATTGTTGTACCTGATCTGTAAGGGATCAGATTCACTGCTGCCCTAGCTGACTAACCCTGCTATAATATTAGCCTGTGCACTGTACTGAGAGCAGTACATATTTCCAGTTATTTTGTCCTATTGTCATCCCCCATTTGTTCTTTCTTTCTTTCTTAGACCCATAAAGTATTTCACATGTGCCATGTTACTTCAAATATAAGATGCACATTTATTTTCAATTGAAAAATTGAGGTATGTCTTAAATTCAAGGAATTATTCATCAATTTGCAAATTGTCCACGGTGTAGTCTGGAAAGAACCTAATCTAAATACATTTGAAGTGAGTCATCAAGCCACATCATCTCCCCCACCTTTAACTGTGAGGCAACCCCAACTTCAATTCTGTCATTGCCAGGCATTCTTATCATTCAGGTGTGTTCAGTTTTCTATCAGTTTTTACACATGGAAAAGTGTTTTACATATGATGCTGCATTCAGAAGAAAAGTTACTCTGTGTGCTGAAAAGACAAGTGATCATGCAGCTGATAGAAAGTATACAGTAAGTGACGCATGTATATATCATTGGCAAATTATAAAAAAAAAAACTATTTTCATATCTGGCGGTCTCCTTAGTCTAGGGGTAACGTTCCCACCTCATGACTCAAGTTACATGGGTTCAAACCCGGCAGAGGTCGTGGAATTTTTAAGGGCGGAAAAATTCAGGGAACAAGTCCTCCGGGAGGGACTTTTAAGCCGTGGGTCCCGTGTCGTAGATTTACGGCACGTAAAAGATCATCATGTCTCTAGGAGATCTCAGCAAAATTAAGCAACACATTTCCCACCCAAGTAGTTTCCAGTGCCTCCGGTAGATGGGGAAGTTATCGGGTACCAATGCCAGTAGAGGGCCGACCTTGCTGGCAGGAAGGGGAGAGTAATAGGGTACCACTGCCAGTAGAGGGCCGGCCTCGCTGGCAGAAAGGGGTGATAGCGGGCACCAGTATCGGTAGGGGTATGGCGACAGTAGAAATTATAGGGGGACACACAATAAACTATTAGTTGCAGTGCATGGGGAAACCCACCCCCTCTGTACTGAATAACTGAGTTTTCATATCTGACAACCATTAGAAAGTCTTTTTCTGGACCAAGGAAAGTGGGAAATTCTGTGATTCATGCCTCTGTTTTAGAGTATTTCAAAGATTTACAAAATAAAGGATTTACTGTAACTAGGGAAGCAAAAGGCTAGTCATGGATGGTGTGAAAAGTTTGTAAAGAGAGAAAGCTTATCATTATGACAAAAGGATGAAAATTAGTTAGAAACTTCCTTCAGAATTTGAAACTAAACTGATTGAATTTCAGTGTTTGTTATTGGACTGTGCTGAAAGAATAACAGTGCAGACAAAACTGCAGTTTCTTTTGACATGCCTCTCAATTTTGCCGTAAATTTCAAAGGGAAAAAAGACAAATGGCAATAAATTACATCCATACTATTAAAGAGAAATGCAATATCAGAAGAAAATATTTGCAAAGTGTAATAGTTTGAGCCAAAAAAAAAATGCGTGAAAGACATCAGACAGAATTAATGGAAGACTGGCTTGGATATGTATAGGAATGTCAGCCTGGTGCATTATCAAAGCTACAGTGCTTGCTTGCAACAGATGCATCTCATGGCCATCTCCCCAATAGAATCAGAAATATGTGAAGGAACAAAAGCACCGATCTAGTAATAGTTCTTAGTGGCATGACAAGTCAGCTACAACCATTCTATGTGTCAATTAACAAACCATTCAAATATCGTGTTCATAAGCACTGTGATGCCTGCGTGAATAAAGACAGATCATATATTGACACCTAGTGGCAAAATAAAAAGAGCATCAGCATCACTAATAGTGGAGTGGATAGGAAAAGCTTGGGAAGTAGTGCCAGACAATATTATTCCAAAATCGTTTTTAAAATGCTCTTTGTCTAATATGGAAGATAGAAACAAGATGGCATTCCTTGGGACGACAGATAACAGAGTGGTGGGGGTTCATCATCTTCTGAAAATGAAAGTGCAACTGAAGGACCATTGGACAAACTTTCTGCTTAAATAAAAAAGATAGAAATGAATGTGCATGTAGTAAAAATTTTAAATGTCCATTTCATTCTGGTATATTTTTCATTACTTTCACTTTAAATAAATATGTTCTAAATATGTTATTTTAATTGATGCATTTTAAATAAACTCGCTGAAATAAATATGCCTTTTTAAACTTTTCGTAAAAAACTCCTTTAAAAGTTGGATGCATCTTAAATCTAAGGACATCTTATATTTGAAGTAATACAGTATTTTGCTTATAATTCATCTAAATTCTTTTGCATTTTGCCAGAATGAATTCCAGTTGGTAGTTTTAATGCTGTTCTCAGAACTGGAGAACTGTTCTGATAGAGACAGGTTTCCATTCAGTCCAGATCCATTTTAGATTTTGCTGTGTATGCTACAGATAAGTAGGATTTTTTAACATGTGAATAATGCAAACATGCTAATGCATAATATATTTTCTCAAAGGTGGATGAGCTACTTCATTGCTACCTGGATACCATGGATTGTCCAGTGTTTCGTGCTGCTGCAAACAAACCAAGCCTGGATAGCAAGCGTGCGTCACTCTATGTGGGAGTGAACGGGTGGAGCAACCCAATTGCCAGATTGACTGGACTGACTCTGGCCCTTCTGATCAACCAAACTGTCAACCGAACTAAAGAAAAATGCCATGATGATGACTCTGATAGGGTAAAGTAATAATTACCATTTTCACTATCTGTGGTTTACTTTGTAAAAGACAAAGAGCTTGCAAAGGAAGACATTGTAATAAACATTTCATGGAGTTCTGACTACAGAAATATAGCAGTTCAGTTGTAGCAATCTGCTGTATTCATGGAAAATCCTGAACCAGAAGTCAGTTGGGTCTTTGTAATAATGTTCCTCATTGTACAAGTATATTTCTTTACTTACATATTTAGTGACTTGTAGTCTTCTTCCATCTCTAATGCAGCAATATCAGTATAGATTTAGATGACACTAATCCACATTTAATTCACTAAAATGTGTAAAATGTCATTAAAATATATATGAAATATATATATACATTCTATGTTTATGCGCTACATGTTTCAGCCACACAGGGCCATCTTCAGGCAACACATGTTTTAGGAACCCACTGCACTGTGCACTTTATCTTAAAGTTCTCTTTGACAAAGTGAACTGTGCAGTGGATTCATCTTTCACTAGATCTTCCAAGTGGTTTTTTCTCCATGCTGAATTCATAATATTGTAGGATGGCACATTATTTCTTAGTGCATGGGAATGGAAGCAATGAAATGGTGTATGTCATTTGCCTTTAAGAAGAGCCTCACTATTGACCTTCCACTTTTTTTTATGTGGGGTTACAAATATTGGCACAAGTACAGAGAGTTCAAATAAGAAGGAAGCATAAGAACACTGTGATTACAACAGATCTTATGGCTGGAAATCACTAGGTAACTGTCCAGTGTGACAGCTCATTCTTGCAATTAGCAAACAATGTGAATAGCACATTAGTTATTAAGCCTCTGCTTCAGATTTTGTTTCATCAGGTCTGAGTTCTGTTACTCTTGCTTTGAAGTACATGATTCAGCAGAGAGTCTTCATGACTAGGCTGAAGGCTAGATAACTGAGGAATCAGGGGTTGATTCCTAGCAGGAACTAGAGATTTTTCTCACCTCTACAGCATCCAAACTGGCCCAGGAACCCACCCAGACTCCTATCCAATGAGTACTAGTGGCTGTTTTCACAAGTGTCAAGTGGCTGGGACATGAGACTGGCCACTCACTTCTATCTAGTGCCAGCGTTCAGTATGCAAGGATCTACGTAGGGCAGTCAAAAAGTTCCCGGAATTCCCCTGCAGACAGAGAATGAGCAATAAGATAGCACACACACTGTTGTGGTGGGGAGCTCAGCATGTCTACTTGCAGACGCAACAGGTCTGGACAGGTTTCAATGTGCAGTGTCGTTAGTGTTCCGTTTAAGTTAGACGTGAGTAGTGTTGGTCATTCGGCACAATATCGCAGTTCAAACAGCATGCGAACATCAAGTTCATGTGCAAATCGGGAAAATCTGCTTCAGAGATGCAATCGGCCCTGCAGCAAAATAACAGTGATATTACACTAAAGAAATCCGCAGTTTACGACTGGTTTTCCCGGTTTAAGAATGGGCATGAGACGTTAGAGGATGACCAGCGCAGTGGGAGACCTTCAACCTCCAGAACCGAAGAAATGGTTGGAAAAGTGCAGCAACTGATCCGATGTGATCATAGAATGACCATCGCGGAGTTGAAGCAAGAAGTTGGTATCTCTCACGGATCCATTCACGCTATTTTGTCCGATGATTTGAAGATGAGACACGTCAGCGCAAAGTTTGTTCCAAGACAGCTGACCACGGATCAGATGGAATGTCGCATGACGGTCGCTGGCGATCTATTTGACAAAAGTGTGCAGGACCCATCATTTTTCAAAAAGACTGTCACTGGTGATGAGTCATTGGTGTTCACCTACGACCCAGGGACAGAGATGCAGTCATCAGAGTGGCACACAGCATCGTCTCCCTGGCCAAAAAAATCACACCTCATCAGATCCAAAGACACAGTGATGCTCATTGCATTCTTTGACATCAACGGTTTGGTGCATCATGAGTTCGTACCGCCTGGACAGACTGTTACTGACCATTTCTACATGCAAGTTTTGCAGATGTTGCACGATGCTCTTCGGAGGAAGCGGCGCGACAAGTGGCACGGACAGTTTCCTGCATCATGATAACGCACCAAGCCACACATCGCTTGTTGTGCAGCAATTCCTCACTGAGAAAAACATTCCTGTCATCACTCAACCACCGTACTCTCCGGATCTCGCTCCGAGTGACTTTTGACTGTTCCCTACTCCGAAAATGGGCCTAAAGGGGACACGTTTCACAACCATGGAAGACATCAAATTGAATGAGATGTCTGAGCTCCGGAAGATTCCAAAAGCAGCCTTCCACTGCTGCTTCCAACAGTGGCAGGATCGATGGAGCAAGTGTGTGCGCACGCAAGGGTCCTATTTTGAAGGTGATAAGCGTTGCCATATGTCCTACGATTGGAGTTCTACACCACCATTCTGGGAACTTTTTGACTGCCCCTCGTATGTCTCTGCTCCCCATGCATGTTGTTCAGTCATACCTCATGATATAGTGTTCATTCAACTTTGCTTATACTTTACATAAAAAAGAAGGCTTACAGAAAGTGCATTCAGAGGTTCACATGAAAATATCCATAAGAATTGGTTCCCACAGTGTCAAGTGTATCAGAGATTATCAGAAAAGGACAGGTCACAGGTTTAGTTCATGACAGAGAGAGAAATAACCAAGAGAAATGCATTGACTGAAGAAGAAGATATCCAGGCATAGTTATTCAGTCCTCATAACTGGTTAAAATACTTGGCACAGGAAACTGGTGTTTTATTTGGATCTGCATCCATAGCCACAATACTAACATAATTTCAACCTTATAAAATAATGTATGTGCATGAGCATAAGCAATCAGATTATGCAGGTAGAGTTCACTCCTGCACCTGGTTGCTGCAAATGTGCATGGCAGAGTCATGGATCCCAGCTGCTACGAGGCCTTACCTTTGTTGTCGTGTCAGTACACAAGAAAATCATTACCGCATACAAATGCTCTATGTGGTGTGATGTGCTATCTTGTGCTTTAAGTGTGCGGCAAACAGTTGGCCTAAACGCTTTACAGCAAGATTGTTATGTAAGCAATGTACAAGGGAGAAAGTAAAGATACAAGTCCAGTAAAAATGCAAGTTTTTTCTTCCCCCCCCCCTCCAAAAAAATGGCAGTGCTGCCATGTGAGGTAGGAACCACATGTCAGGGCTGAGTTCACTGGCCAAAGTCACAGCAATGTTGTGCTTGCAGTATGTTTAAAATGGCTGTGTTCATTCAAAATCCCACCAAATGTGAGGTCATGCAGTAATTTCATATCTTCACGCAAAAGGAGAATCTGCTACTGAAATTATGAACAGGCAAAACGTGGCAAAATGGTGTCATGAATTTGAAGCAGGAAGAAGTGATGTTCATGTTGAAATAAAAAGTGGAAGGCCATCCATTGTCACTAATGAAGTCATCCATAAAACTGATGAAAACATTTGTGCTGACAGACATTTAAGCGTTGATGAACTTCATCAACAATATCCAAAAGTGTCAAGAACTGTTCTTCATGTCTAAGATAGGCAGGAGATTTCCTTGATGCTGGAATGAAAAAACTCGTTCCCAGGCTCACTAAGTACATTGTGATCCATGGTGACTATGTTGAAAAATAAATAAAGGTGTGTTGTAAAAGTGCTAAAAGTGAATCCCTCCAAAAAATGGTTTACAAATATTTTCTGGACTTTATATCTATACTTTCTGGATATCTTTCATATTTCATCACATCAGAACCTCAGAATATGTTATAAAGCTTGCTCATATGTTGCAAGGCATGCTTGAAGTCATAAGAGGGTCAGTTCTTGTAAAATATTTATATGTTTCTGTTTCCTTTTTGTGGTAATGAGTAATGAAATACAGAGAATGTGATCCCCATGCTGGTTACACACCCCTATGTTATCATCTCTGCAGTCACTTATACAGGTAACCTGTGTTGTCATGAACAGAACATTTCCATCTCAGTTGACACACAGTATAAACAGAATTATGAGAATTCAGAGTGAAATTATTGTTTGTGCAAAATTTATATGATCATATTCCTTGTGTACAAGGTGTGGCAATAAAGAAACCGGATTCATGCTCTAACCCTTTATTAAAAAAATCAGACAGTCGAAATGTTATCCCCTTCAATGTAGTCCCCTCCCCGATCCCTACACCGCTCCATGCGAATTTTCCACTGTTGGAAGCAGTGCTGCAGGTCATCTTGTGTTATGCTCTTCAAGAGTTGCGTCGCTTTTGCTTTCACTGCATCCACGGACTCGAACCTGGTCCCTTTCAGCGCAGACTTGATTTTTGGGAAGAGAAAAAAGTCGCACGGTGCTAGGTCCGGAGAATACGGTGGATGTTCCATCACTGGAATGTTGTTTTTTGCCAAATACCTCTTCACAGATAGCGCGTTGTGTGCTGGCGCGTTGTCGTGATGAAGAACCCATGAGGCATTCTTCCACATGTCTGGTCTCCTTCGTCGCACACGTTCACGGAGGTACGTCAAAACATTTTTATAATAAACCTGATTGACAGTCTGACCTTCAGGCACCCAATCAATGTAGATTACCCCCCGGATATCGAAAAAAACAATCATCATTGCTTTGAATTTGGACTTGCTCATGCGCGCTTTCTTCTTCCTAGGGGATTTGGGGCTCTTCCAATGCATGGATTGTCGCTTAGTCTCTGGATCATATTGAAGAATCCAAGTTTCGTCACACGTAATTACGTTTTGGAAGAAATCAGGATCATTTTCAATGTTTTCAAGAGTGTCAACACAGCAATTCACTCGATGTTCCTTTTGCTGGGGGGTAAGGATTTTTGGCACCACTTTAGCACACACCTTTTTCATGCCCAGATCGTCGTGCAAAATCTGTCTAACACTTTCCTTATTGATGTTCGTAAGTTCAGAAATTGCTCGAATGCTCAGTCGACGATCTCTTCGAACAATTCTAGCGACCTTCTCCACATTCTCTGGAGTTTTCGCAGTGGGAGGACGGCCCGATTTTGGATCGTTCCCGACGTTTTTCCTACCCTCCATAAACTTCTTAAACCACTCGAAAACTTGCGTGCGAGATAGACACTGATCACCATATACTTCTGTCAACAAATTGTAAGTTTCAGTGGCAGATTTTCCAAGTTTTGTGAGGAATTTGATGTTAGCACGTTGTTCTGCATTAGCACTCAGCATTATTCCGACGGAGCTCAGAAACACGATCCGCTTCTAACAATGGTCGCGGCCAGACTAACCGATGCACGTGAATGAAACTTTGTGTGACGGTAGAGGGAAGTCCAAGGGTCAATGCCCTACCCTCCTCTTCGTCAATGACGTGGCCGGAAATGAGTCATAAAAGTAATCCGGGTTCTTTATTGCCACACCTTGTATTATGAATGGAAATGAGTCAGCTATGATTCTTTTGGCTAAATCATCAGCAGTAATTGTTCCAATAAGGAAAAGTTTACTAAGTTGAAAGTAGTGATTTGCAGAATGCAAATGCCTGTCCTGATTTTACTTTTTAATGTGTGTTTCATGTAACAGGTATTCAAGTATATTTGGATGGGCAGCAGTTCCATTGATTCAGACTCAAGTGGTTTCTGCATAAAAACTACTATGAACTTCTCGTTAGCTGTAAGCCCAGCTTTCTATGATATACCAGGTAAGTATTACTTTAGCTTGTACCAAAACACTTCAGAATACACTGAAATGTCATTGCAACAGTATATCAGACAGTTCATAATTAACCCCTATAGCGGTGAGATCAGTATCATTAATGCCAGAAGCAGATTTATATTTATCCGGCTCTTGGTTATTTGCCCCATGAGCTAGTGGGCTGTGGTGCCGACACTTTGGAAAAACATGCTGCCTCCGTGTTGAGGGTTGTTAGGAACTGGCTTTTCATCACAAGGCCTCAGGTTCAGTCCCAACCCAAAAGATAGAAGCAGTATGTTCCTCTGAAACATTTGGCAGCAGCTTACTTCCACACAGTGCAAATACCCAAAGGCAGAATCAACATCAACACTGAGTCACTATGAAAGCCTAAAATCAGTAAGACTAAATTGTAAGTAATTTCAGAACTGAATAGCTCGGTCTCTTGGTTTTTTACTCGTAATTAATAGCCTTAAAGAAATTGTTCATAAACTCATTTCATAATTTTATACTGAATATACAGCTGACTCTGAGAATGAAAGAAATGATTCAGGCTGTTGTTGTAAAAACGGTGACAAGTAGAATTTTGGTTCCAATTCAGCAACAGTTACATAATATTATCACATGTATGAGTGACTGTAGGTGGGGTTTGGATTGGTAATTGGATCTGTTGAACACTTACAGATCATAATTACAAGTAACTACAGTGCTATTACTAATTCACACACTGCAGTTCACTGCAGCATGTACTAAGACTTCTCAGTCTGTTTTTTCATCATATGTTCCCTGGTGACAGATCCAATAAAGTCCCCAGCTTCTGTTCTCAATTTCTTACCAGGTGGCTACTGTCCCAAACTAGCTCATTGCTCCAATTGTCCTGCTTATAACATCTCGGCAGGGACTGCACAGAAAATACTGTTCCTTTGTTGCTGTTCAATTGTTGCATGTAAATAGGATGTATGGATGGTGACACTTGAATGGTTAAATAAAGCATAAACAAATGTTCCACCACTATCATCTTATGATAGTTGGACATGAATCTAAACATAGGACAACATTAGAATTTTGTGTTGTGAATACAGGCTGATTCACCCTACAAGTTTGTATGTCTGTCTGATCTGAGATATGTTTCTCAATAGACTATGATTGGGCATCTGGAAGGTATTCAACATGGACTGAGTCAGTGTGGCGGGAGATGACAGTCAGGATGTTCCTTAAACCATCAAGAAGTCATGAGAATCTGACCTTCTCGTTGGGAGTTGTGGTACTCTCATTGTCGTTCCTGATTGTTTACTTTGCAAATTCCCGGTCACACATCCTGTTTGGAAACACGTGAGTACAGAATAGTTCATATATTCCTTAATTCAAAGAACAGGCATGTATCATAGTTAAGAGGAATCTTCAGTTAGCTCAAAAGACTGCAGAGATGGAATATAACCTGTAGGATACCAGAGAATTGTTGAAAAGTTAAAACAAATGTCACTGAACAGCTGTCTCTTTATATTATTGATAAATACTCATAGTATATTTACAAGTGAATTCTGAAATATGTAGTGTGAAATTGATTGTACAGTCTTCATCTACATTGTATATGTGGTGTGTTCAAAAAGTATTGAACCTTCCTTTTTACTGCGTCAACCAATTAAGCGTGGGAGGCTCCCTTCAGTGGAGATATGGAGGGGACATTCATGCGCAGTAGTGAATTTTTTCCCGCCCACAGAAAGCGTCAGTTGGCCTATGAGTGAGGACGTGTAGTGAGCGCTCGTTGGATTCCAGTAAGGTGTAAAATGACGGAACAACATGAGCAGCGATATTGCATCAAATTTTGCCAAAAGCTTGGTGATACCCAAGTGGAAACCATTCGCAAGATTCAACAGGCTTTCGGAGACGATGCCACGAGCAACTCACGGATAAAAGAGTGGTACAACCACTTCAAAGATGGCCACACATCAGTGGACAGCGAACCGCGTTCAGGCAGACACTCAACAAGCCGAAATGAGAATGTCATTGAGCAAATGTGGACTTTGGTCATGGAGGACCGTCGTATCACAGTCCGCGAACTTGCAAATGAGATAGGGGTAAGCACTGGATCGGTACATTCAATTTTGACTGAGAATTTGGGCATGCGGAGAGTGTCCGCGAAATTTGTACCGAAACTGCTAACAATGGAGCAGAAGCAACGCCGTCTGGAAATCGCACAGGACATGCTGGACAATGCAAACAGTAACCCCAACTTTCTGAACACCGTGATCACAGGTGATGAGTCGTGGGTTTATGGGTGCGACCCGGAAACCAAGATGCAGTCGTCACAGTGGAAACATCCAACATCCCCGAGGCCAAAAAAAGCACGGCAGGTCCACAGCAATGTCAAGGTCATGTTGGCCGTTTTCTTCAACTCCCATGGGGTTGTGCACCATGAGTACGCACCACAAGGCCAAACCATCACAAAGGAATACTACCAGGAGGTCCTTCATCGCCTTCGTGATGCTGTGCAGCGCAAACGACCGGATCTGTGGACAGCAAAAACTTGGCAGCTCCATCATGATAACGCACACACCCATTCTGCGCATCTGATTCAGACTTTCGTCGCCAAACACGACATCCCTGTGGTTCGTCAGGCTCCCTACTCCCCCAACATGGCTCCGTTTGACTTTTGCTATTTCCCAAGCTGAAAATGCTGCTGAAAGGAACCCGATTTGAGTCAAGAGAAGACATCTTGTGGAATGCGACGGCCTGGCTGATCACCATTCCAAAAGACACATTAGAGAAGTGTTTCCAACAATGGCGGAAGCGCTGGGAGAAGTGTGTGCATTACCAAGGAGACTACTTTGAAGGGGATTAGGGTTTTGTACCTCCAAATCAATAAATGTATTTCTGCCGACCAAAGGTTTGATACTTTTTGAACACACCACATACATTGAAAAAAATTGTCCCCTGAATGCCATAAATTTAATTTTTAGTGCATTTGATAAAAGCAGTCTTACTTGGAATTAGCTACTATAGATAAATGAAATATCAACATTTTCATGTCCCTGTATTTTCTGTTTGAACGTTCATATAAAGCAGTCATACTTTTTAAGTTATTACTGACATGTCTAGAGTAGGTGATAGTTGCCCAGCTGTTCTAGAAATTCTACGCTTTCACAGAACCTAGGGGTTTATTACCATGTACACATGAGCCCATCACTGGACCCAATTCTGAGCCAGGTGATTCCAGTCCTCATTCTCATGACATTTATTTCAGATCAATTTTAATATTATTGTCCCATCTACACGTAAGTCTTCAAAGTGGCTTTTCTTTCCTTTAGGTTTTCTGATTCAAATTTTATATATGCATATACATCTCTCTCTCACACACACACACACACACACACACACAAGTATATGTAAACTGAAGTGATGCTACATTGAAGTGAGGATTTTATGGAGCCTGTATGATGTAATAAACCAAACACATGTAAATAAGATATACAGTGATATTCATAGTATAGAGAATAGAACACTTATGAAAATGTTTAGTTAGTTAGTTTCTTGGAGTCGAGTGAGACTAACTCCAAATGCATTGTCTTAATTCTGGACTTGTTACCAGTTTAAATAACACATATTTGCTTATGTTAAATGATTAAAAGAATAAAAACTGCACAGCTCAAAGAAGAAAACAGTTCTTGCATTTTCAAATACCAATGATGTCAGAAATATAAAATAAACAGTCACAAACCATTAGGTGTAATTTTTGTGCCACTGCTTGGTTACTGTCTAAAAACATAAGGGCTAAAATATACAAAACTATAATTTTGCCTGTAGTTCTTTTGTATGGTCTTCCACATTATGGGAAGACTGTAGACTGAGTTTGGAGAAAACTGAATAATAAGGAGCTTCTTAATTTGTACTCTTTTCAGAATTTTAGAATGCAGTATAGTGTTCCCAGGTGGCCAGCCTTGTTAGTGTGGAGTTAGTGTCCATCATTTTAGAGACTGTCTGTGTCTCCATCATCAGGGGTTGACGTGATGACAGTTGGATATGCATGCTGTATTTATACAGAGATCCTGTTTGCCACAACCCAATCCCTGTGAGGAACAATGGAGTCAGTGGCTAATCATGGGAATCCATTTGTTGTTTTTTATGGAACTAATGAGTATGGCTTATACACATTCACTATCGTCTTAAATGAAACTTTACTTACAATTAGTGTTTTTCTTAGATATAAAAATGAAGATTAAAATTAAGATTGCTACTTGTGTCAGACATACTCGAACATCCTCAGGCAACTGTCTACCTTGTCAGAATTGCTACATTGTATTTTTAATGAAATTAAGATGAGTTATTTCCTAAGTTAAAATATTGTGACGTGACGGCGCAACACTTGGTAAACACCCCGTCCCCCTCCCCCGCAGTGACATAACAAGGGACACCGTGGTTGCTATGCAGCAATAAACGTTGCCCAGCAACGCCTTTGTAAACACGGCGGGGAGTCCGTGCAATGACTGTTGCTAGGCAATCGGTAAACACGACGTTACGCAACAGTGGTACCTATCACGTAACTGTTTTCTGCCGAGGCTAAATAAGGAGCAGCGAACGCTATTCAGTCAGTAGTGAGTGATTAGTGAGTGAGGATTGAGCCAGTTACTAGTGAGTAACGATTAACCAGCCAATTACAGTCTAGCACTCTTCGGAGTGAATGGAAACAAGAGAAGTAATTGTGATACTGCCAGTGGAAGTAATTGTGAGATTGTAAGAGCGAATGTGCAATAAATTCACTATGTCAAATATGGCGTGAAGTTACTTGTCACGCGTTATACACCCAACACGTGACAATATTTTAATGTTTTCATTTTTGTCATCCACTCATTGAAAGACATTTATTAGAGAACATCACTCATTACGTTTTCATGCACTGCCTTACTCCTGCAGCATCAGGGGTTTGTGTGTTATTTTGTGTAATTCATATGGATGTTGGTGTGGTGGTATTATCTTGTTTTTATGTGCCCCATTGGTATGTATATGTCTGTGCTTATGGTCTAGTTGAATATGTGTCACAGTTGCCTGAGGATGGCTGAGTACAGCTGAAATGTGGCAGTTTTAATTTTAATTTTTGTTTCTAAGTAGAGGAGTAATTGTAAATAAAGCTGCATTTAAGAAGAAACTGAATATGTCACCATAAGACATATCCATGGAAGTGGACACACCCACTACAGTCGAGTTGCTGGTGAGCTCAGTGTTGTTTTGGCTGTCCACAAGGATGAAGTATAAAGAAGCATGCTAGGCAAGTCAACATGTTCTTATTATCGGAGTCTGCAACCTTGCAACAGAGTCTGTGGCAGTGAAGTGCTGAGGTTACAAGCAAGAGCACTATAAAAGACTGACCGGTTGTGATTATCTGTAAACAGTTTTAGATAAGAGTATTCAATGTTGAGTAAAAATCCATTTCTAACCCAAACCCATTGTCTAGTCATTACCACATGACAGTATTATGGATTCCCATGACTGACTGATTTCACCGACTGCTCCCCAGGCAATCTGTGCTGAGACAGAAGATCATGACTGTCACACTCTGCCCACATGCTATCTGGGTTTTGGCAGATGACATCTTTGTATAAATATAGTATGTGAACACAACGCTCTCCCATCAACCACAGATGATGGAAACAGTCTGTGAAATGTTGATCTGTAACTCCACATTTATTTGGCTGATTGGGGTCACTGACAAGTTTTTCATGGTTTTCCTCAGCCCCCCAGTGCAATTTCTCCAATATTAGCTTAATTATTCCATGACTGCTTCCTTCCAGATCATTATCATTTCATTATCCAGTAGTCATTCTATCATATCACACTGTATAGCCTTAATAATGAAAGGGTCGTTCAAGAATCCAACAAAAAATAGAGGTGGTGTTTGGCGTGATCTGTATTTACTATTTCTCCCTTACTCCAGTTTGAATCCATATCAAACATTTCTAGTATATTGCATGGTTTTTTGCAGGTTAGTGACAAGTAGTTGCTAGGGACACGACGCAAATCAAATATCCTTAACTACACTTCACAGTGGAGACAAGTCCTCTGTCACTCAGCTGTGAGCACAGTCCTGTCTCCATGAATTACATATAATAGTGAAAACTGTGGAAGAATAATAAGAAGAAAAAGAAGAAGAGGATACTTGATTTGCGACCTCGGACACAAGTAACAGTGATGAAGAGCCTGATTGAACAAAGTGTTGACTTGATCTCAAGCCATCCATTTCACTGACCACATAGGTCACCTTGCCTGTTCAATAGTTTCTCCACAATTTATCACTTTAGTATTTGAAGAACAGCAATATAGGAACAGTGAATCCTCGGTACAGACTTGGATAATCTGGAGCTTACAACACAGAACAATACAAAAAATCCTGCCAGAATCTTACATGTGAGATCAGTACAAGTATACAATAAACCAAGCTTCCAAATTGGATCTCTTTACAGATGTTGTTAGAGGTTAGTAAGGAGGAGGAACGGGAAAAACTAACTTGTGAATCCATACTTTATTTTAACCCACCCCAGTATAATATTGTCACTTGATCCTTCAGAACTGGGTTTATTTGCATTCTTGCTGTTGTGAAAACTAATTTTTTTCATCATGTTGCCTTACTGATTTTGATTATAAATAAATAGTGTAACACCTGTTGAGAATTCACTGGGAAGCCTCATGGCTTTTCACATAAGCTTTTATGCTATAAACTTACCTGCTTTTTCTTATATTCCTTCCCAGTGTTGTATGTTATTGAATGATACATTGAGGCTGATATTTATTGGCATCTCCTTTGGTAATACACATAGTCAATCATAAACCATTGCCTGTATATAGTATACTACACTCACATATCTTCATGAGAATATTATCAATACTCACAATACACTGACACACAAAACTGTTTACTCATTTGTGACCTGCTACTTTACATAATTACATTCATGCAGTGCATTAATGCCCAATTTGTTCCTGTGATAACCTAAAATTTCATTAATTTCAGAGTGTTCATTTCACCATTACATTACTCTTTGATACATATAGAATTACATTAGTATTTGTAAAATACTTGCAGTCACCACATATCTGTTTTTCCTGACAGTTCTTTTCCCCCCCCTCCCCATTGTTGTTATCAGATTCCTGGCTTAATAATCAGTTGGCATATTTTGATATCATTTCACTTGCAAATTTTATAGAATTTGATTCATTGGTTTGAGTACATTGGACACCGGCAAGTATCCATATAGGACAGGAAGACTTGAATAATATATAAATTTCTTGATGGTGAAACATGAATTTCATATTGTTTTATTTGCAAATTACTTTGAATGTTAGTTCTCACCAACACAATTTTGAGTGGTTACTCTCAGAAAAGTCACCTCTTGCTGTTCTCATACCAGCAAAGAATTGTCCTTCATGTAAGAAGCAAGCAGAGCTACAGAATCAAGTTCTTGCCCCAGATGTGATAAACAGTTCCCATGACAATATTCACTGCTGTCCTCAGTATGTGAATGACAGATGGAAATTCTTGTTTTCTCAGCCGTTGCTAGGCAGCGAATGGTTTTTAGCCTGCGACTGGCTAGCACTCACTTCACTGTGGGTGCTTCCCATAGTCACATATTGTGACCTTACATAGCAACAACTGTTTACTCACTGTTGCTAAGCAGTGGTACCTGAGCTGTCACTGTAACGTTTGCTTGCATGGGGGCAATTCCCACGTCCCCCCCCCCCCCTCATAACTTGTGCAGGACAGTTTTTCATCGTAGTGCGTTCAGAAGTTTCATGACACTTTGTGTGGGCTGCTATGAGTCCTAATTTCTCTGGGAGTTCCCTTGATAACTTGTGCAGGAGTGCTTGAGTCATACGGACCTGGAATTGCCCTTGATAACTTGTGCAGGAGTGCTTGAGTCATACGGCCCCAGAAGTGCCCTTGATAACTTGTGCAAGAGTGCTTGAGTCGTACAGCCCCAGAAGTGCCCTTGATAACTTGTGGTGAATCGATGTATTCTTCAGAATTCTCCACGTCAGTTGTGTATTCGCTGTCATATAAAAAAAAAAGATCCTGGATATCATTATCCAATGCAATTAGTTGATCCAGGGTCTCCCTTAGACGGTCTCGGTAGTGCTCATAATCCTCAAGTGGGGTGCTAACGGTGGATTCAATTATAAAGGTATTGAACCTTGTCGCTTTCGTCCTTGCCATAGAACACTTCCTCTTTAGCCTTTGGAGTTCGCTGTCCGCCATGTCAAGTTGTGAGGGTATCTCCAAGTATGATCTCACAAGCTAATTGATCATCTGTGTGGGGTCTTGCGTCGTACACGCTCCTGGTACTTTCTCTCCTGCCCCGGAGCTCACCACTCCAATTCTCTGAAAAATGGATGTCTTTTAAGTTCTTCTGCATTGCCCTCTCCTCCACCCAAACGTTTCTATATATCATTCACTAGTAGTGTTAAGATAAAATCTGATGCCTCAGGGGATATATCATTTGGGACGCAGGTTTTGGCACCAAAGAATATCATGAATCTCGAGGCGTGTTCCGTTCTGCGCAAGGTGTTGGTGTGTTTTGTCGGCAGAAAGAGGTGTCCAGAGTTCAATCAATTAAGGGGTGTTATCCTTTCCGCTGGTAATGGTGCTTCGATTTGTTGTCCCTACGTAATGCACACGAGGCATGCTTCATTCTCAGTAGTCCCTCCATAATGCATACAAGGCGTGCTTCATTCTCTACAGCCCCTCCATAATGCGCACGAGGCGTTTCATTCTCGACGGTCCCTCCATAATGCACCTGAGGCGTGTTTCATTCTCGACGGTCCCTCCATAATGCACCTGAGGCATGCGTCATTATTATAGTTGCACACTATACACAGGCAAACTTGAAGAATTGAAGACTAATAGTATAATGAACTCTGTAACACCTCGAATGTTGTATTGAAACGCAACTCTGAACTAGAACTGTCAAAAGTCAAAGTCACGTTGCGATTGACGGTTAGTCAGCAAGTCTTGGTGTCGAGCCCCATCTGGGGCCCATGACCAGATATTTATTACTGTTTGACAGTTACAGTTTTGTTTTTGTGGGCTGCCCTCTCTGACAAGAGGACAGGTCTGTCTTTTGTATATGCTGCTGGCCCTTGCAAGCATGATCTTTCTCGGGTCTGAGTCCCTAGGGACTCGCGATCATATTTTGCTATCTCAGATTTGAGACTTCCCTTTTCATCGCCTCCTACGACCCCTCACCACCACCTAATGCCGACGGTAAGAATGGTGGAGCTGTACCACTCCCCATATGTCATCATGCCATGGTGCTTAATTAATTAAGCATAGGTATGGCTTTACATTTATGAACCTTTTGTGTTTAGATAGGAGAACCACTTTGTGCTTATTGTTATTCCATCAAGGTTAGTATCTTACTATAAACATATGTCTTTCCCAAACTTTTCAGATTATTGAAGTTAGGTATTTTTAACAGAGTTTGTTGTTAACATTCTCCATTGAAATTTTGACAGGTTTCATGCTAGTTATAAAATATCAGCCCATGTAAAGAGGATGTTGAAGATCTCAAAATTAATGTAAATGTTATTTCGATATCCATAATCGGATAACTGGGCTTAAGACTGTGAGGAATGGTGCTGAAATCTCATGTGTTCTTGATACCATATTTTCAACCTTTGTATTGGAGTGCATACACTCATTTATCTCCTTCTCTCCCTCTCACTACATGTTTCGGCATAATAATGCCATCTTCAGGTGCTTACTCATCCACGCCAAACTAGTTCATTGCATGCCTATCCTCATATTAAAATAACTAAAATATATATCTATCATATACATTGACAAATGTCAAACGTTAAAAATATTAAAATTGTTCAGGATACCACATCGCTACGTCGCACCTCACTACGCCAGTCACGCCCATTCTCCTCTGTTGGAGCACTCCTTCACTATCATGTGTGTGTCTGTAACGTGAATTTTTTTATTCATTAATACCGCGTTCCGTATTTTATTTATTACTTGTGGTAATAAGTAATAAATAAAATATGGAACGCAGTATTAATGAATAAAAAATTCACGTTACAGACACACACAAGATAGTGAAGGAGTGCTCCAACAGAGGAGAATGGGCGTGACTGGCGTAGTGAGGTGCGACGTAGCGATGTGGTATCCTGAACAATTTTAATATTTTTAACGTTTGACATTTGTCAATGTATATGATAGATATATATTTTAGTTATTTTAATATGAGGATAGGCATGCAATGAACTAGTTTGGCGTGGATGAGTAAGCACCTGAAGATGGCATTATTATGCCGAAACATGTAGTGAGAGGGAGAGAAGGAGATAAATGAGTGTATGCACTGCAAGACGGTTTAAATAAATCATGGACTTAAATCAGTGCAACAGGACACTAAAATATAACCTTTGTATTGGCTGTATCAAGATATACTGTGGATCAAATGATTTTTATTTTTATGCATAAAATTTTTTAATTTGTATTAACAAAGCCTATTTGTGTGTATATTACCTCTTACCTGTGAGGCATTGGTTTATGGTATACTTCTATAAGAGATGTAAATAAATTGTATTTTATTTGTCCCTTTAGTATGAATTATTAGGTTTCACTGAGCTCTGAAACTGTATTGATAGTTGAACTGCAGAAGAATTTTGTTTGTATGGCTGTTAATCAGATTATATTGGGATTTTGAACTGCTTTTGTAATCACTGGGGAGGGGGTTTGTTGAATGCAGCTGGACATAGATCAATTCAGTGGCCTTACAGTAGAAACTAGAATTGGTCAGCATAGTTATGATTAGTTGCAGAGGCAGTATCATTTAAATGCAGCCTAATGAAATGATTAGGAGTCTCTGTGAATTATGAAATCAATGCTGCAACACTGCCAGTGAAATCATTTTTCTTGATGATTTGTATTGCTCGTTATGGTTCTTAACTGCTGCCACGCGAAAGCTGCTTTTTTTTTCTCCCCCCCCCCTCTTTGTTTTCCCCCTGTAATATTCAGCCATTCCTTGACTTATGGATGCCCAGTGTACAAATGTTCACTTTCATAGTACATGCAACTTTTTTTTTGCCCTTAAATATTTGATTTACAAAACCATCTTCACAAGAGACAAATGTATCCCACATGACAGAGCCATGTAATTAAGCTGTGTATGTGTGTTAGTATTCTATACATCAGCCAGGCTACATTTTTTGAAAGGTGGTCCTTACTTCACTAGCTGCCATTTCTCAAATATATTCATGATTTCATCTACACAGATTGTGTTTTGTCAGATATATCTGATTACAGTAAGATAAACAAACAAAACTCTGTGGCCTGTAGTCCGCAAGCGAACCATACCGACTGAATGACCGCCACTTGTTGGCGAAGTTAGTGCCAACTTTATATAAGTAAAGTTATAAGTGTGCTTTGCACCACATCATGAACATACAGGGGGCATGGAATTAAAGCTCCACACATGCTTAGCCTTGGCACTAGGTGGAAGTGAGTGGCCATCTTCGCATCAGAGAATAGAAGCCCTTGTATGTGTTGTGTAGGAAACTGGGTGGACATCTTAGCTCTTCTGAACATAGTAGGTAATGAGAGAAATCCCACTATATTTGCTGAGAGTCAGACTCTGGCTTTGAAGCCCATATCATGCCTGTTTACTGAGGTATCATGATTTGAACATCAACTTTTATTTTAGATTAAGTATATTAATAACTGATCACTTTATTGGCCTTTATTTCAGAGTTGGCTGCTAATAGTTAAAACAAAAAAGAACTCTGTGGCCTGTAGTCCTCAAGCAAACTATACAGACTTTATTGTCTCTGTATGGTTTGCATTAACAATATGTCTGTAATAGTAATACCCTGCTTGATGTGCTAGTCTCCATATAATGATTTAAAAATATGACATCTGGTGCCCACTAAATAACATGACTCTCCTGAGGGCTCAAATTACTATGCATTTTATGTTTCATGTGTTTCTCATATACTTTCCATGGCAGTTAAGAGTTTGTACATACAATTAAAAATGTTCAAGTTTCGTCTGCTTCAAAAATGTCAAGTCACTCCTAAAGATTTCCGATGATGGTGTATTACGCTTGGAATTACAGAGTTTCTAGACATTTGCCATGCTTCATACTCTAAAAGAATGCAACATTTTGAAAAATGGATCACTTACCAACCTCAGGTGAAAGGGTGGGAAGGAACTTGCTCAGTTGGGTCCGTTAAATAGAGCTGATCTCAATGACTTGGTCCAGTAACTGAGGTCAGCTGTATCTAATGAATCCAACTGAGTAGTGCTTCCCTATGCCTTCACCCAAGGACAGAAACTGCTCCAGTTTCCAAAACTTGTTCTTTTAGATTATTAGACAATGGACGAAGTCCAGAAACTCGGTAATTCCAAGAAAAAATGTCAGTACAGTTATTTGAAAATAAGACTTCTCGTCTATAAATAATTAACAAATTAAGAATTCTGTGCATAACATAACAATTCTTGCATGTTCTTATGCTTCTATTTAATTATATTGAAGACAAAATATTTAACAGAAAAATATGCTGGGCATAAAATGTGTTTCATTATGATAGGTATTGAACAATTCCACTCAAGATGCATGTGGCTCTTCGTGTAAAGAGCATGTTATTGTTGTCTGATCTTAACCAAAATTAGAATCTGTTGACAGATTATACTCAAACTCTTGAATATTGATGCAGACATGCCAAAATTGAGTCCACTACATGAATCCTAATGTGTTTGTATGATGTGGAGTGTTGGGAAAGGTCAGATTTATGTGACCCACTGGATAATTTATTAGATGAACCCATCCAGTCTTGAAATGTATATTGATATTTTATAATGAAGTGCTTTATTTTGATAAAGATCAGATGTTTATTCGTTCCTTTACTTTCTATGCTAAATGTATGTACAGGTCACTTTCTTATTATTAACTTTATAATTATTTTATATTTCTAATTGGTAGTGCTTAATCTGTGAAGCAATTTGGAAATAATACTTCTGTAGGTAATTAACAAATTATGAATTTGATGCATACCTATGCATAGCTGTGACACAGTACAAGTCTGTCTGTAGTCTACTATGTATTTCATAATTATAGAACACTTTTGTGAAAATTTCAGTGAAGATAATTCATTCCAACGAAGACTGAAATAAACCCAATGATGGTTGTTAAGGACCGAAACATATAGCATAATAAGTAACATATTAATAAACTAACTGATTTTATCGACATTCAAGCCTATCAGTTGTTCATTAGAATTGTGGAGTTACTGTGCTTGACAAATTTACATAGCAGAGACATGTACAACAGGATGCAAAACATGTGAATGAAGACTGACACGATTGCTGCATGAAGACATGATTTTCATGTTGTAGAAAATATGAAAAGAATAGAATTAATGTATCCTGTTTCTTAAAGTGAGTGTTGATGGTTTCCAAGATATGCTGCGGCATTGTATTCTCAACACAGGCAGTGGTTAGAACTGCACATGCTTAACTAGTTTCTTTAATACTGTATTTTACATTGAGCATAGTCAAAATATGTATTTTAATATTCCGCCTGAAGAGTGCTATGTTATGGGATGTGATGGCATGTAGTCTAGTAGGAGTTGGCTGTAGTTTCAGGGGAACATTCTGTCTGCTTGCTCAGCTTACACTTTTGCCAGAAGATGGCATTCCTCTGAAACATCAGTATACTTTTACCAAAGTACATGGCATTACATCCCCCCCCCTCAAAAAAAAAGATAATGTTCCCATAGTTGCTGCTGTGAGAACATTATATCATTTTCTACCTGATGATTTGGACATGTTACGGTCTAAGCAGACCTTGCCTAGGACATCAGGGTTTTTGTGTTTGGGACATCTTCAATCATCATCATCTTGCAAATTGAGAGTTCTGGCATAGGCTCCCACAATGCAGATTTATGAAACATTTTCAGCTGATGAATTCAGGGGAAGGGAAATATCTAGGGCTGAGAGAACAGTGTTTGGAAAAATGTACTGAGGGGAAGAGAAATAG